GAATTGTTTTGTTGCCGATAGTTTGGTTGTTGTTCTAAAAATTAATGTTGGACATGTGAAAATCTTTATTAAAAGAGACTGAGTAGAGTGTGGATTGTAGGCAGCTCCCCCCCCCCCTTACTCACAGACGATATAGGCCAAGTTGAAGTACACTGACGGGGGTTTTCGAGGTTTACTTAATTGGTTAACGATTTCTTACAACAGAGCGAACAATAGGCGGCGATAATATTTCTTGAGGGAAAACGAAATTCAACCAGAGTGTTTCAGAAAAAACGAAACGGATATTGTATATTTCATCTTCACTGTGTTTAAAAATAGTGGTGAGTTGTTCTTTATTGATTGGGGGTGTGTGTTCCCTATACCATCATGTGGCATGAAAAAAAATTCCAAACTAAATGAGCTATGCTATGTACAAAAATATCGTTAGACCTAACATAATGAATAGTCATAATAAACATAATAAATTAACCTAAATACCTACGGCATGTTAAAGTTCGACTTCGACAATAATTATGTACATACCTGGTTCTAATGGTTCACTGCATGAATCCCTCACACAAATATCATCAATGGCAATGTTCCCCACGTCATTGACACCACGTACACCCTCGATAACGTACTTCAAGAATGGAAGTGAGTTGTTATTGCTGGACTCAGTTAACGTTAATCATGTTTTTCGAGGAGCCTAAACACTGACCTGATACGGAGTCGTTTGGTTGTTTACAGCGACCTGTGCTCGATTCCAGCCCCTGCAGCGGGGACCATAGAAACTCTTCAAGGGGAATCCCATGCTACCTTCAGACGACACGTACACCTAGATTTTTGAAGAGCATATATACTGATATATGATACAAGAAATAAATGATATCTTGTGAGTTGGAAATTGGATATGTTGATCTGAACTTTCGAGCAAGTTATGCCTCCCATACTTTTCTCGTTAATTCTCGTGGTATTTAAGTTGTGTAAGAAATGCGGTTATTCTTTTCGTAGACCAAAGATACCAAAAGAGGTTAGCGAGGAAAAGAGAAGCCAGATAATCAACAATTAAGGGAAGTCTAAGTTAAAAATTGAGGTGTAGTTACATGTGTCGAAGGAAAGGTTGGATGCTGTTTCGTGAATCAGCTTCGCATTCAAACAAATAAAGATCTGGGAGATCGACAGCTACCCCAATGTTGGAGTAGAATTGAACCAAAATTGAGAAAAAAATAATATCGGCTAGACTCGGACTTTTGACTTTCAATGTATAATAATTTATAAGTTAAAATTCACTTGAGTATATGTAATACTGTTTGAAAAAATCTTATGGATATATTGAACCAAATTTACTCTTATCTGCCTCTTATTATATTGAGCATTCTACTTTACTATATTTGATTCTAAACACATATTTGGTGTATAATTATCTATAAAATGAAACATTCCTGGCGTGAAAACAACATAATTTCCATTTCACGAAAAAAGAATGGCCTTGTAAGGTATAGAAAAATACCCACCTGTAAACTTCCAGCGCGCTGGCCAAACATGCGATAGTAGAAATGAAGACACGATTTGACTGTAGTAATGTTTGGGGAGATGAATCGTGCACTTTCACTATCTTTTCTTTTGGATGACCGAGAATTTTGCATGTATAGATACCAACCTGACCCAACTGTTAGGAAAACATTATAAGTGAATCTTGAAAGCTGATATACAGGGTGTATCAAAAAAAAGTATACAGACAATTGTTAAAATGTCCATAAACTGAAAATTTCGCAAAATGTCTGAAGAACGTGTGTTGATATAGGTATTTTAGGGTCTCTTGACCACTTGAACACTCAAATTAAATAAAAAAAATTTATATCGACGCGTAGGAATGATTATTTTCAAACACCACCTAAAACAACCCTCGCGCACAAAAATGGACGGTTTAAATCTAAATTCGCTATCATAGGTTGAAAGTTTGGGTAATGTTTTATAAACTATCAAAGTTCCAGACAATTTGGTGTACATTAAATCCGCCAGGTGGCCTCTCGAACTTGGATTTTTTGCTATTTTTGGCCTTTCTCGCATACGTTTTGCAGCTCACAAATGATTTCACGCATGATTAATGTAAAATATCAATAATGCATGAATTATTACCGCGTGAAACGAAAAGTATGGGGGAAAGGCCAAAAATAGCAAAAAAGTCCAAGTTCGAGAGGCCACCTGGCAGATTTAATGTACACCAAATTGTCTGGAACTTTGATAGTTTATAAAACATTACCCAAACTTTCAACCTATGATAATGAATTAAGATTTAAACCGTCCATTTTTGTGCGCGAGGGTTGTTTTTGGTGTTTGAAATAATCATTCCTGCACGTCGATATAAATTTTTTTATTTAATTTGAGTGTTAAAGTGGTCAAGAGACCCTAAAATACCTATATCAACACACGTTCTTCAGACATTTTGCGAAATTTTCAGTTTATGGACATTTTAACAATTGTTTACTTTTTTTTGATACACCCTGTATAGGTGCAAGTTTGACAGATGCAAGACATAGACTTTTGTCGTTGCGTACATGTTTGTAAAACTTGAAGACCATGGAAAAACGGTTGAATAAAATGGTTTAAATGACGCACACAAAAAATGCGCAGAAACGTCGCCATATTCGCAGTTGTCTTGACACTGCAATTTTGAGTTTACGTCATTGAATGAGCTCATCTAGTATAGTCTCCTATCCATCTCTTATTTTCTAAAAAGTGCCTGTTCATACTCACTGGGTACAAACTTAATAAAATTATGTAGCTGATCACAAACAGAACTGAGCACAAGATTCTCTTCATCCACAGGGTGCACTCCATTCTTCGCTGTCAGACACTTTTTTTTCTGGTATTGAAGAGATCCACTTTTTGTCCAGCTCCATGTGTCAGATTTGTTGCAATTTCTATAAACACCAACCTAAAGACGACATATGCTGACTAAGGTTGGTTCAAACGACATATGCTGACTAAGGCCTGGTTTAAACGTCGCTCTTCGTATGTGCCGAACCATATGTAACAGCAATATAGATTAGAGCAGGGACGCCGGACAAATGAGGTGGGGGGAAGCACGACAGGCCATTCGTACCCCTTACCCCTTCATTAGTTGATTTTCAGTTGTTCTTATTATGTCCCCCATTAAGTGTCCATGGAGTCTCTTTTTCACAACCGCGCTAACAACGTGATCCTTCCAGGGTTCTTGGATTAGAGCCACCCTCAACAGATTTACTATTGTGTTCTTACGTCGCTACCACGTCGCAGATAGGGTGGATCTTAAACTCGCGAATATCTTAAGAGACAGGGTAACATTAACTTACTTTCACTCCATCAATCACTGGCCCTATGGGCTTCACACACATGTGATGTTTAGTGTGCGTCAATATTCCGTCTGATCCTAACTCGAATTTCAGTCTTTCTTCACTACAGCCACTGTGAATTACAAGTCTACTTCCATCCTCTGGTTTTTTAAAACCACCTCCATATATATGAATACATTTTCCTCCGCGGAATTGCAGTGCACCTGGTCCTTGACTAGTGCTTTTCAGAACGCCTATATATAGGCAAAAATGCGAATATTAAATATTCTTTTCCGAAATCCGAACAGTTATGTGTAAAGTTTGCTGGGTCCGTAACAACTAACTAACCCAGGGTCTCCGACTAACTAGAGTTAGTCATAATCATAATCTAGTTTTTCTAAATTAAGGGATGCAACCTCTCTTACTTTCTTCAAATGCAATTATAACACTTACCTGAACCCTTCGTATGGTCTATACAAATGGACCTTCATAGATGATTCCCTGAGAGCCTCTTATGTGGCCTTGTTTTCTTAACCAATTTAAATTATCGCTTAAAATATCTTGGCTCCATTGGCATTCGTCCTCAACCTCAAAGTTGCAAGAGTAAGTGCAATTTGCGAACGCTAAATATATAGAAACGGAGGGCGAAAATTAGCCTATTGCTGAACAAATTATATACATGAAATTGATTTGATATCTTTGGTAATCTTTGGCAAATGCTGCAATTTCATTTGCTAAGAAGAGTACGATTTGGCCATTAATTGCACCCTTTGCATGCATGTTGTAAGTCTTGCTTATGGCTAATAAAAATCATTCAATTATATACAACTAACCAATCACTATTCAGGATACAAAATATGAATTTTAAATAATGTCAAATTTAAATTACTCCAAGCATTGTTGTGATAAAATCTAACAATTATGTTGAAGTTCAATAAATTGTATCCTTAGACTACAGAAGATATAATTATACACATACAGATATGCTGAATTAAGGTATTAACGTTATAAACTATCTAGTTGACACAGGGTGTGTCAAAATATTGCAAAACCCTTAATATTCTCATAATTTATGTTCGCTTCTATTCAATAACAAAAGATCTCAGGCCCCTGAGAATTATTGAGGTTGCGGGCTTTTTGTGCACCCTGCATGTAGGTAATGCTGCATGCCAACATCTCATTGTCAAAATGTCGTCTAAAAAATACTGACCCCATCAAAATGACCTGACCGCCGTACTTACCTTGGCTCTGAACGACGGAAATCGCCATTCTAAGTAGACATGCAAAAATGAGGGCAATGCAGGTCTTCTGTCTTGTAACCTACATCAATTGACATGCAATTGTCACTTTGGCGGGTCTTCAAGACTATATTTAATAGTTAAACTAATACGCAGGTTAGCAGAATAAACAGTCCATTTTCATCGTCGTTCTCTTCCAGTAGTTCCTTTTTCTAATCTTAGTCTTCATTCTTACAATTTCTAACATGCAACATAGTTGGAGTGCCAAAACTGATAACAGGTCATTGTCACAAAGATCTGTTTAATTGTTACCTCCAGAACCAAAAAGTAAGCAAACCAACATTAACATGTAAACGATTATGTCTTGTTTTGTCGCTTCAAACTATGTTTCAAACGGTTGTAGCGAGTGAACGTGGGTGGACTGAATTTCAAACGTTGTAGCCAATATAGTTCTCGAATTCATAGCACGACATAGCCGTCCACATGTACTTGATCAGCCGTCGTTCAGTGGGCAAAAACGCAGGATGCGTGTGGACGGAAACTTTAGCCGTAAAAATATTTTTCCATCATCACCATTCCGGCATCGTGTGGATGCATGGGGCCCAATTAATGAAGAGCTATGAAAGTTTTAGACGTCGCCCACGTTCTGTTTACAACGGCAGATCTCAGATTTTCACATCTGGTGTACAACGCCTGCATTTCAAGTCACAGCGAGCGAAACCTCGTTCGGACTCAAAAAATTTGTTCCTGAATAGGGCCAAAAGTGCCGTTTTTGGGATGAAAAATACCTTTTTGGAGAAACTGCGTATCCCTACTTACACGCGCCCAAATCGTTTTGCAGAGCATAAATATAAACCACACTTGTGATGTCCGTGCACGGCTTTGGCAATCAAACCGTCCCTACATACATATTTTCAGCTGCCTTTTTCACTAACTATAAGTGTCCCTGGAGGCTGACTCCCCATCTCTGGACGCTTTCTACGCCCCTGTTCTTACCAAAGCATTTATTTGTAGGAAAATTTATGTATTACAGGAATATACTAATACGTAACTGTAGAGTTTATCCGAGCGCTTGTCTTATTATACACTTCTTTGGGTAAGAAAAAATAATGGCTTAACGCGGTACGGTATACTATGAAGTAAAGTATTTAATGAGTTTGCCTACTTTGTTAGTAATTATAGTAAAACCAAGGGCAAAATTCTAGGTTCTATAAAAAGGGATCCGGAAACCTAATTGCAGTCTGCAGAGCGCTATTGTAGGTGAATTACTTGTTCAACGAGCAGAATTTTGTAAAATTAAATTACATCAGTTTGTGCGCTTTTAAATGACATATTAAAATGACAAAAAATATTGAGCTAATATACGGGTTTGTTCTTTTATTGTATTTAACTTACCTGCATAGTATACTCTAAATCCAACAGCATCGCCGCCAGCATCATGATATTGATAATAAATGATAATGATAAATAAATGGCGCTGTAATATAAGATAAATATTGGCATGCATGCATTCATAACATACCCTGTCACATCTTTCTTGCCATGTTCCAGAGCCTATCGGAAACAAAACAAACGAAGTGCCATTTCGGCGGGCTGAAAGGAAAGATCACCTTTAGTAATCTTTGAAGTTTTGCACTTTATTGCACGATTGTTCTTCATTGTGCGAATGTGTGGGTCTACCAGGTTGAATCAGTGTTCTTCATAGCTTTGAGACCACTGCAGTCTGGAAACGATTTTTCACTGGGCGGAATCTTTCGACGCAACGAAATATTTGCATATTTTCTTTTGAAATGAGAACAGTCAAGCCGAACTAACTTAATTACTCTGTCAAAATTCAAAAGAAAATATGCAAAAGTGGGAGAGCCCGATTTAACCATACCGGTTCACACGAACGACATCAGTTTAAGTTGTTCAACGCTACTCAATCCCCAGAACTTTTTCATTTGGCTGATCATGTTGAAGCAAACATGCTATCATAATTTTCGGGTTAAAACTCGCTTTGAAATGGCTAATATTGATGCGTGACAATGCAAATCCGGCAGAGTGTAAGCCGGGTCGGAATAATACACCCTTAATTTCCACCGTCGCGTTTTTTACGCGCCGAAAAGTTTAAATGTTTCCAAATTGTTATTATTTAACGAATTGGTCAAATTATTAGTCATATTAAAATATGTGGAAATCTAGCTTTTTTAAATATGACATATATATCTGTAAGGATTTATACTTTTGCGTGCGTGGGGGAACGTACGTATATGCATGCATGTATGAAAAACGCGACAGTGGAGAGCAGCTCTTAGACTTGATATTAGGAGCTTAAAAGAAAAGGAAATGATTAGAATGCACGAGTTTAATAGAACTGAATACCTCTGAATACATGTAAACAAGAAGGCTTGTTGTTTTGATGGAATCGGCAAATTTGATTACATTTTTCAGGCTATTCTAAATTATCACGAATTCGTTTGAAAGGCAACATGTATCCTTTTACCGGAAGTAGTCAATCTTCATTCATGCATTCAGGTTGGGTTTTAAAAATATAAACAAATTTGCTGATTGGTCTAAAATAAAATCCTGCTTTGTTAGTGAAAGCACATAAGTATTTTCTTATTGTTAGCAATCTCCCCTTGTTGGTTAAAGGTTTGTCAAGTTCCAAACCACTTACTCTCACTGTCATATAGGAAGCACTGAACATTTGCTAAAATATGGAACAATTGCAAATGACATGCATGCAGTGTCATTGTAATGACAAACTGCGTAAAAGTGAGCATTTTGATTTTTTTCATTTTCGGCGGCGCTTTCTCGAGACATAAATTATACGAAACTTCAATTACCTTTGAGGACAAGTATATACAGCAGTCAGGAGAAGCTAGCAGTTAGACCAACATTTGTCATTTCCTATATTAGAAGACTATAAACGTCATGGGCTATGAGTCATAGCCACCAGAAATTATATACTAAAATTTCGATTAACTTGTAATTAAAACGATACAAATTCATCCAGAAAGTTTTGTTGTGGTAGCATTGGTACAAGTTAAATACCGAGGATACTAGATCACGGAGAAATCGTACAGAACTCAGAACTGCATCAATTGATTTGATGACGACTTTTGCATTTTAATAATTGTTTTGCTATTATGTAGAACATATTTCTTGTGTTTTTCTCACGAGACATTTCAAAGCAGCACGTTCAAACGACGATCATTAATGTGACGTCTTTAGAGGCAATACTTACCATGGTAGTGTAGGTGGATGTCCTAATATTGCATGTCGAATCGAGTGACACATAGTAAGAGGGCTTTGCTCTTCCGTAAGAGGGCTCTTCTCTTCTTTGAGACGCAAGATATTAAAGAATCCCCTTTAAAAGGATTTGATGAAAGATATACATACATATTTCGTGACAAGAATAACACGAGCTCTATGAGTTGATCTCGTAGTTTCTCGCGTTTGTATGTTAGCGGAACGGAACGGCCACATCACGCTGCAGGTATATGCTGTATCCCGTATTTCCGTACTGGTCCAATCGACATCCCATTAAGCATAGGAGTATAAGTGTTCACCGTAAGCCAGGTTCCTGACCCAACTTAGCATGCAATATTTAACGCCCTAAAATAGACAAAAAACTCTTCTTGAAGAAAATTCTCCTTTCGAAGCCTCGAGAAATGTTTTTGTCTGTTATAGGTAGTCATGACATTCAATGCGCGGTTGTTAGAACACGCTGATCCTTGCTAATCATATGGAACGGTTTTTCTAGCTAACTATTAACTAGGTTCAATTTTTGACAAAGTCTTTCAAAAGTTTCCCTGCCTGTTTCAATTCTAACAGCTTTCTCGTTTCCTAGAGGCACTAAGAAATTTCCGTGAAATTTTGATAAATGACATCTTTGAAAGGGTTGATTGAAGGCGATAGTAATGAAATATACTGGAAATTCAGGTTCCGATATATCTATGCGTCTACGATGGTTTCCGTTATAGTGAAGCTAATCGTGCTACGTAGTGCTAATAGTTGTTTTGCGAGAAATTTGACTCATTTGCTTAAGATAAAGACTTCATGAGTTAGTTGACCTTAAGAAAAGATGTGAGAATGTTCCTACAAAGTTCATCAACTGTTTTTCTACTGAATTTTGTTCATCTACCGAATTTTGAATATAGTACTAATCGTGATTAATTAGTTTATGCAAATATTTTGTACTTTGAATCAAATTGACAATTGAATTGAACGTAGAACTAGTGTTTTGTAACGAAATATGACAACAGACTATTAGACGACATACAATGGAGATACGTGATTCAATTTCAAAAATGTAGCCTGTATTCACGCAAAAAGCTCGCTCACATTCAGTGTGTGTGACGTAGGAACTCTGTTATTTCTGAGCAATTTGAAAGTTGTTTCTTCATCAATGGAAAGCCTTCAGGTAAATCAAAGAAAATCAAATTCCTACTCGAGTGGAATTACCCTTAATAGAATCGTTACGACGTGATTTAGATCTCCCACTCAATACGTTTGAGTGTGAACTGGTAAGCTCTTAGAATTAGAGAAGTGTTTATATGATCCCGACCAGACAGGATGGCGTACCTAAAAAGAAAAAATCTTGCGTTGGTAAAGCCAGTTAAGTGCTGTCAGTTATGTCATTCAGTATTTTGGAATGAAACTTACTATTCTTACGTCAACATCTTTGTTCCTATTATTGTTTTGGTATTGTGTGAAACCACACTTTTTGCAACCTTGTTGCTTAATTAAAAGGCAAAGGTCAGCCTGACTCAGCCAAGGTGGGAGGAAAGCGGAAACATTTTTTTTGCTTGAGAGGAATCAATATTATATACAGGAAATTTTTATCATTCTTAATAGTCAGCAAGCTAGGGTAATCTTAACTCGAATTCCTTTGGCATTGATCGCGTACACGCACGTCTCAATAGCCATATTTTAATAAGCCATATAAAAAGTCCTAAATGGAAGGGAGGGTTTATTGCATGATTGGCGAGATAAAAGGCAAAATGAAAAACATTATGTACTTGGTGAGGCACCTAAAATTCATTAACTTTGCCTTATCCATCTCATCCATCATCGAATGAATGGTTGAGAACAATGTTCGAACTTTTGTGATTATTGGTGCATATATAATATTTTTAAATGTTTTCTATAGTTATTGTTAAATTTCTAATTCTAATTAAATTTCTAATTCTAATTAAATTTCTAATTTAAGATCAGCGAGGCTTTATATTGACAGAGAATTTCTTTTCAATAAAGACGCATATTAATAAGGTAAACGACGTTCATATCAATTATCAAGCAGGAACTAGATCAGTAATGTCAAATTGTAAATTAAATATGAATTAAAAGTTTACGTTTCTGGACAGTCCTCCAAAGGTTGGTGTGTGGTGATTTCCGTGTCTTTGGGTACCTCAACCGAAAAAGATATCAAATTAATATACCAGATCTATCAAGGCCGTTTACGCTTTCAATTTTTGATGCGATTTTCTCCTTTTGATACATGTAAACGACTGAATTAGTTACTCATGTTCAAATAAGAGCTCTTGTTATATAGGTGCTTTGTATTTTAAATGTGATTGCATGTTTCTAATATGTTCTGATCGCGGGTCATAGAGTTTAAAGTTGTGGCTAACTAGCTGTATGTGTAGCGATTTTTCCTCTTTGGTTTTTGAAAGTGTATTTACATTTTATAATACCTAAGGTATCTGCACTATAGTTTAAGGGAAAACTGCAACAGAAAAAGTTTACCTCAATAACTCCTCACGGTCCTCGTAAGCTTTCGACCGCAGGTAGTGAAATGTTGTCCTCACCCAGAGTTAAAAACTGCAGTTTTTGGTATCGTCGTCTGCATTTTACCAGCACAACGATATTGATTACAACGATCAAAAGTAGTGCACATAAATTCACCGCTATGAAAATGGGGAGTTTGCTCGAGACTTCGCTCGAAATATTCGCTTTATTGCAGACTAAAAAGGAATGAGAATATAAAGAAAATAAATAAGATGCTGTATTTTATATGTTATGAAATGTTTTTATATATGTTTACATAAAGATGACGTCATTCGAGATAGTATTTCTCAGTGGAATCCTGTACATTATAGTGTTGACGTTAAGACGTGAATATGAAGCTCAATTTTTATCACTTGAAAAATTAAGCACAAATAGCAGAATCTATAACCACAACTTAAAAACACTTCAATATAATCACTTGGGTCTTCGGGGAAAAAGAGACTGCGTGTTCGAAAGGAGGTCTTACACAGCCTTGCCATGCAAAAATTCTGCCATAATTTTTGCACCTAAACTTTAGCTTTTTAACACATTTGGGTTAACACCGCCAAAATAGGTCTAGATGTTATTTAGAATCAACTGCACACTTGCCTTCAACGGACGGAGGTGTCGTTGCATTTAGTTGCGAAGTGTTAGGCTGCCGATGGTTTGGTTGATGTTCTAAAATTTAATGTTAGAAATGTGAAAATCTTTATTAAAAGAAACTGAGTAGAGTGTGGATTAGGGGCAGCCCTCCCCTTACTCGCAGACGATTGAAAGCCAAGTTGAACTATATATATTCGAGGTTTACTCAACAGGCAAACGATTTCTTACAACAGAGCGAACTATAGCCGGCCATAATATAGCTTTTGCCGGAGGGAAAACGAAATACAACAAGAGTGTCTCATAAAAAATGAAAAGCATATTGTATATAATTATTATCTTCACCGTTTTTAAAAATAGTGGTGAGGTGTTCTTTATCGATTGGGAGTGTGTGTTCTCTATACCATCTTGTGACATGAAAAATAGGTCTAGATGTAATTTAGAAACAACTGCACACTTGCTTTCAACGGACGGAGGTGTCGTTGCATCTAGTTGCGAAGTGTTAGGCTGCCGATGGTTTGGTTGATGTTCTAAAATTTAATGTTAGAAATGTGAAAATCTTTATTAAAAGAAACTGAGTAGAGTGTGGATTAGGGGCAGCCCCCCCTCCCCTTACTCGCAGACGATTGAAAGCCAAGTTGAACTATATATATTCGAGGTTTACTCAACAGGCAAACGATTTCTTACAACAGAGCGAACTATAGCCGGCTATAATAGCTTTTGAGGGAAAACGAAATACAACAAGAGCGTCTCATAAAAAATGAAAAGGATATTGTATATAATTATTATCTTCACCGTTTTTAAAAATAGTGGTGAGGTGTTCTTTATCGATTGGGAGTGTGTGTTCTCTATACCATCATGTGACATGAAAAAAAATTCCGAACTAAATAAGCTATGCCATGTACAAAAATATCGTTAGACCTAATATACAATTACATTACTATTAACCTAAATACTTACGGCATGTTAAAGTTCGACTTTGACAATATGAACATACCTGGTTCTAATTGTTCACTGCATGAATCCCTCACAGAAATATCATCAATGGCAATATTCCCCACGTCATTGACACCACGTACACCCTCGATAACGTACTTCAAGAATGGAAGTGAATTGTTATTTTTGGACTCAATTAATTAATCTTATATTTTTCGAGGAGCCTAAACACTGACCTGATATGGAGTCGTTTGGTCGTTAACGGCGACCTGTGCTAGACGCCAGTCCCTGCAGCGGGGGCCATAGAAACTCTTCACGGGGAATCCCATGCTACCTTCAGACAACACGTACACCTAGATTTTTGAAGAGCATATATATAGCGGCGGTCAAACATCTGTTAATAATTTTTCTTAATTTACAATAAATTATATCTTGTTAGATGGAAATTGGATATGTTGATCTGAACTTGCGAGCAAGTTATGCCTTCCATATCAAAACAGTGTTTTCTCGTTAATTCTCGTGGTATTTAAGTTTTACCAGAAATGCGGATTATTCTTTTTGTGGACCAAAGATGGCAAAAGAGAAACTAGATAATCGAATTCAACAACGAAGGGATGTATTAGGGAAAAAATTGAGGTGAAGTTACATCTGTCGAATGAAAAGTTGGAAACGTTTCGTGAATCAGGTTCGAATTCAATCAAATGAAGATCTGGGATACCGAGAGCTACCCCTGCAAATGAAGATTGAAAGAATGTATAAGGAAAACCAGTGGACCCTTCTTAAACCAATCTTGGAATAGAATTAATAACTAACAAAGCTGGTTGAAGCTGGTTCACTCTACGCCAGAAAAAGTCAATGTTGTAATTAAAAAGTCGAAATTGAACCAAACGTGCAAACAAAGCTGGTTTGGTTAACTCTATGCCATAAAGTTGTTTTGAAACGTAAAAGAGTAATGCGAAATATTATAGAACGGCGCTAATTTTTATGTTAAAACCTATAACATGATCGTTCTGTCAATAAAACAAAAATCATATCGACTGGAGTCGGACTTTTGATTTCCAATGCATAATAATATATAAGCTAAAATTCACCTGATGAGTATGTATAATTGTATGAAAAAAATCTTAAGAAGTGAGTCAAATTTATTCTACTATTGTATGATTCTAAACACATATGTTGATATGAACGCATATTCTAAACAGAATGATTTTCCATTTCATGAAAAAAATGACTTTGTAAGGTGTAGAAAAATACCCACCTGTACACTTCCAGCAGGCTGGCCGAACATACGATAGTAGAATTGAAGACACGATTTGGCTTTAGTAATGTTTGGGGAGATGAATCGTGCTGTTTCGCTACCTCTTCTTCGGAATGACGGAGAATTTTGCATGTATTGGTACCAACCTAGCCCAACTATAAGGAAAAACATTAGGTGTAAATTTTAAAAGCTGATGATATACATAGGTGCAAGATATTAAACTTCGATCGTGGCGTACATGTTTGTAAAACATAAAGAAAAATATAGCGAAGTATAGAAAAACACAAAAGATGTTTCGAAACGTCGCCATATTCGCAGTTCTCGTGATACTTCGAATTTGAACGCGTGAGTTTATGTCATCGAAGGGGCTCATCTATAGTCTTCCATTCATTTTTATTTTCTACAAAGTGAATGTTCATACTCACTGGGTACAAACTTAATGAAATTTTGTAGCTGATCACAAACGTTAACAGAACTAAGCACAAGACTCTCGCTATCCACAGGGTGAACTCCATTCTTCGTTGTTAGACACATTTTTTTCTTGTATTGAAGCGATCCACTTTTTGTCCAGCTCCATGTGTCAGTTTTTGTGCAATTTCTATAAACACCAACCTAAAGACGACATATGTTGACTAAGGTGTATGTGCCGAACACATTAACAACAATATAGATTAGAGCAGCGACGTCAGACACCAGACAAAGGGGGTGCCCCTTGATTAGTTGATTTTCACTTGTTCTTATTAATTCTTACCCTGTAAGTGCCCCTCAAGTTTCTTTTTCACCCCCCCCCCTAACAACGTGATCCTTCCACGTAGAGTCCCTGGATTAGAGCCACATCAACAGATTTTATTAGTATTGCTTTTAATACTGACATCACTACCGCGTCGTAGATTTGGTGCATCTTAAACTCGCTAATATCTTAAGAGACAAGGTAACTGGTAACATTAACTTACTTCCACTCCATCAATCACCGGCCCTCTGGGCTTCACGCACATGTTATGTTTAGTGTGCTTCAATATTCCTTTTGATTTTTACTCGAACTGCAATCTTTTCTCATTACAGCCACGGTGTATTACAAGTCTTTTCCCATCATTTGGTTTAGTAAAACCACCGTGATATATATGAATACACTTTCCTCCGCGGAATTGCAGTGCACCTGGTCCTTGAGTTTTGCTTTTCAGAACGCCTATAGATAGAGAAATAATATGGGTGTTGAATATTCCGTTGTTGTGAAGTCCGAATATTTATGTTTAAAGTTTGCTGAATCTGCACCAACTAACTCCGTTATAGTTAGTGAAAGAATTGGGCAATCACAATCATATAAACTATCAGGGTTGCCACTCCCTGATACTCTCCTCAAATGCAGGTATAAAACACTTACCTAAACCCTTCGTGTGATCTACAAATGGACCTTCATACATGATTCCCTGAGAGTCTCTTATGTGGCCTTGTTTTCTTAACCAATTTAAATTATCGCTAAAATGATCTTGGTTCCATTGGCATTCGCCTTCAACCTCAAAGTTGCAAGAGTAAGTTCGATTTGCGACCGCTAAATATATAGAAACGGAGGGCGAAAATTAGCCTATAAATATTTGCTGATCAGCGTCGATTCTGTAAGATTCATCAACCTATTTGAATTGCACCCATTGCGAGTTGTAATAGCACTCTTGTTCATAGCCAATAAAAGGCACTCTAGTATATACAAAGCCAATCATGCAAAATACTCATTTTAAATTATCCTAAATTAATAATGTTACACGAAACAACTGTCAACATAAACTCGCAACGCAACAAAAGGCAAAAATCTAAACAACAATGTTGTATGGAATAAATGAACATTTCATTGTTTCCAAAACGGTTTCTGTGTTACAAACTAGCTCATATATATCATACTCGACGCGTAAACGTTTTTCAAAACATTGTTGTGAGTTGATGTTGGAAGTTGTTACTTGTAAAATCACCTTAAGCATTGTTGTGTTAAAGTTTAACAATTATATTGAAGTTCAATAAATTGTATCTTTATATAGAATATACAGAAGATATATAATTATACTCACGGATATGCTTAATAGGTAGCCTATTAGCTAACTTTTTAAGTAGGTATAGGTAATGCTGCATGCTAACACGCCATTTGTCAAAATGACGTCTAAAAAATACTGTCCCAATGCAGACGAGCTGACCGCCGTACATACCTTGGCATTGAACGACGGAAATCGCCATTCCAAATAGACATGCAAAAATGAGGGTGATACTGGAGGTCTTCTGTCTTGTACCCTACATCAATTGACAACTGTCACTTACTTCTTATTGGCGGTCTTCAGGACTAAATTTAATGGTTAAACTGATACGCTGGTTAGCAGAATAAACAGAATATGAGACAGGTAGTCCCTGTAGTTCATTTCCAACGTAGTCCCTTTACTGTAGTTATTTTTTTCTAATCTTCTTCTCATCAACTTACAACGGTTTCTGCGCATTTGTTCTGCTCATAACATTGGGGGACTCCATGATTTAGGAATTGCTCAAACATCGTATATTTTGCATTTAGAAATATAGTGAACTACCGCTACTAACGGCATCGTCTGGTTTACAACGTCTGCATTTCAAGACACAGCGGGCCCTGCTTCGTTTAGGCTCAAAAAATTTGTTCCTAAACATAAAGCTATGATGTTTTCAATGTCTCATAAATTCGTACGATTGATAATATACAATAACTCCTTACTAAAAGATTCATTTGTAGGAAAAAAAAGTTTTACAGGATTATATTCTTCGTAACCATATAATGTTTATTCAAGGCCAAGCGCTAATAATTTATTATACGGGTTTGTTCTTAACTTACCAGCATAGTATGCTCTAAATCGAACAGCACCGCCGCCAACAGCATGATATTGATAATAAATGAAAATGATAATAAATGGTGCTATATAATGTAAGGTAAATATTGGCATTCATGCATTCATAACAGACCCTGTCACGTCTTTCTTGTCCTGTTTCCGAGTACCAGAAACGAAACAAACGCTTGAAACGAAGTGCCACTTCTGCGGGCTGAAAGGAAAGATTATATACCTTTGGCTTTGGTAATGTTTGAGCTTTTGCATTTTATTGAACGATTGTTCTTTATTATTGTGCGAATGAGTAGATTTACCAGGATGAATCTTCCTTTAAAGCTTTGAGACCACTTTTGGGTGCTGGAGTCTTTTCCACTAGGCGGAATATATTTCGACCGAACGAAATATTTGCAAATTTTTATTGAAATGAGAACAGTCAAGCCGAAATATTTATTTATTCTGTAAAAATTCAAATGAAATATGCAAAATAAACATACACCATACCGGATTCCCGTGCTAGCGACATCATTTTAAGTTGTTTAACCGGGTATTTCTGTCCCCAGAACTTCTTCGTTTGTTGATCATGTTGAAGCAAACATGCTATCATAATTTTCGGGTTAAAAGAGAAATGGCTAATTATATGTTCGTGACAATACAAGTGTGGTATACATGCATGCATAGAGTCCCAAAAAAGTCCCCTCTATTGAAATCAAACTGAAGTTCCCTCTATTGAAATCCACTGTCGCGTTTTTTTTATGTGCGGAAAAGTTTAAATGCTTCCAAATTGTTATTATTTAACGAATTGGTCAACAAATGCATACTAAAATATGCGGAAAACTAGCTTTTTCAAATATGACATATATAAGGATTTAGAAATGCTTGCGTGCGTGTACGTACGTATATGCATGTATAAAAAACGCGAAGTTGAGAGCAGCTCTTAGATGTGATATTAGGAGCTTACAAGAAAAGGAAATGATTATGATGTACGAGTTAAATAGAAGTAAATGTAAACAAGCAAGCTTGTCGTTTTGAACTAATCGTCAAAATTGATTACATTTTTCAGGATGAGCTAATCAGAATGCCTAAATTTTTACAAATTCGTGTGAAAATAGCCGAATTCATATTAGAGACGGGACACTATGTGAATCCGGTCACAGACGGGTTTCTCGTCCGTATTTACCCGTAACTTTCCCGTCTAAAGAGACGGGTATAAGTCGGACGGTTATCTCGTCTGGACGAGAAACTTGTCTTAAATTCGCATTTAGACGGATAAATGAAACGAGTTTCTAATCTTAACTGAATACAATTTCATGCAACATGCAACATACTTCAAGTGCCAAAACTGATACAGATCATTGTCACAAAGATCTGTTTAATTGTTGCTTCCAGAGCCAAAAAGTAAATGATCATTTGATTATATATCACGTTATGTCATCGCCCTTATACAGTTCGCAAATTCATAGGCATAGCACGACATAGCCTCCACGCGTATATCTGTTCAGCCGTCGTGGGCGGAAATGCTGGAACGTGTGGACAGAAACTGTAGCCGTAAATGGTGTCGATTTGGCCTAATCAATGAAGAGCTATGAAAGTTTTAGACGTCGCCCACGTTCTGTTTACAATGCCAGATCTCAGATTCTCACGTCTGGTGTACAACGTCTACATTTCAAGACACAGTGAGCATAACTAGAGCGCTTTGACGTGTTTTGCCAAAATATATTGAGCTAATATATGGGTTTGTTCTAAACTTACCAGCATAGTATATACTCTAAATCCAACAGCACCGCCTCCAACAGAATGATATTGACAATAAATGATGCTATAGCCTATAAAATAAGATAAATATTGGCTGCATTCATTATACACATCCGGTCACGTCTTCCTTATCATCATGTTTCTGAAAATAAAACTGTCAGTCAAAAAAAAGTGTCACTGCGGGCTGCAAGGAAGATTACCTTTTGTAATCTTTCAATTTTGTTCAACGGTATCTCTGTCCCCAGAACATTTTCATTGGAACTTTTTCACTTCATCATGTTGAAGCAAACATGCTATCATAATTTCTGTGTTAAACTCGCCTTGAAATGCCGTGACAAAGCAAATCCGGTACAGTCAAGCCGAACTATTTTTTTATTCTGTTTTTAGAAATTCAAAAGAAAATATGCAAATATTTCGCAAGCGAACTGTAACCTTTCATAAGCAAGTTCACGCACACAAGTCTAAATCCTTATCCATGTCATATTTGAAAAGCCAGGCAAATAATTCGATGATGCTATATACGAATGCTGCTTTAAATGATGCTACGTGACAAGGAGATCACGTGAGATCAATTATGTTACATCGCGAAGTTTCGAGAGTTTTGACAGCCTGGTGAAATCCTTTTAAAATTGATTATTATTATTATTATCAATACACTAATTCATTCCGTAACCTAAACGTGTATATGTTTACAGTGTTTTTGACCTTGGGGACAAGTTTCATAGTATACAGCAGTCAGCAAAAGCTAGCAGTTAGACCAACATTTATCATTTCCTGAGCTTCGTGGAGAAAAAGATTGCATTCTGAGTTCTGTATTACTTGATTCAAATGTTTGGCCAAATAGTCGCGCTTGATCTTTTTACATATTTTCCTAAGGTCGACTAACTGAAGTCTTTATTTCAAGCAAATGCGTCAAATTTCTGGCAAAAATCAATATAGCAGAATCAGCTTGAATAACGGAAACCATGGTATAGACATACTGCTGTTTCCAAGCTACCATGTGACGTGCTAAATTTTTCATGTTTGTTTACGTTTCAAAAATTCGGGCTTGATCGGAAATCGTTGACATCTCTAAAATGACCAATCAACGTTTGACCTTGAAACGAACAACATTTCGCAAAGCCTTGCGAAATTTCGAGTTCATTGTATGGTCAGCAAGTGCGTTTATTTGTAAACAACACAAACATAAAGTCTTTAACACTTTTAATATACAATCTGGGTTCATTGATTGCTGCATTGAAGATCCAAGTTGTAGACTTGCAGGCTGTTATTTTTGAATAAACCATGATTTTTATGGGTTATTGCGAATAAACCACGATTTTCATGAGTTATTGCGAATAAATTATGATTCCCATTATCTGTCGCCAGGCAACAAGAAACCACGTGATTGATTTTGACAATGCACGAAGATTGTATATTAATAAACGATATACAACGAAGAAACTCCATTCAACTTCGAAAATGCAGCAACACTAGGCGCCTTACGCCTGTATTCAAAAAGCTCACTCACACTCATTAAGTGCAGGTGACGTAGAAATTCTGTCATTCTCGAATGGCTTAAAGACAAAGGCCAACCAAGGTTTTCCGTTCAAGGAAATTTTTTTTCTTGAGAGGTATGAATGTTATATACAGGAAAATTTTATTCTGCTTAATCGTCTGCAAACGAATCTCGTACCTCGAAATCTTACCTTGAATCTACCGTCTCAATAGCCATATTTTAATAAGCCAGCCATATAAAATCCTAAATGGAAGGGATGGTTTATTAATTGGTGAGAGATAAAAGCTTTTAAAAGGCCTTTCTAAGCAAATTGAGCAACATTGTGTACTTTGTACTTGGCACTTAAGATCCATTAACTTTCCCCTATCCATCGTCGAATGAATGGTTGAGAACAATGTTCAAACTTTTGTGATTATTTGTGCAAATACAAATGTTTTCTAGTTATTTCTAATTTAAGATTAGCGAGGTTTTACATTGACAGAAAGTCAATCCTCTTGACGTAATTTAAGATGCAATTAACCAAGTTTACATCAATAATTAAGCGGTTAGTACATCAGTAATACGAAATTGTAAATTAAAGGAACCGGAATAAAAATTATCTTTGTCTATCTTAAAAGATCGTCATGATTATTTACAAAATTCGTTTATGAATTTTTGTTATCTTTATTACTTCTCAAGATATTTTCGAATGAAATTATCTTCAATTCGCCATTTTGGATATGCATATTTTTGGTCTGATATGCGTTACGTCATAAGCTGGGTGAAAATTCGTTTTCTAACTTCAAATTAACGATATAACGAAGTAATAGTTTCATGGTATTACAATCGCACGTATCTCAAATTATAACGTTTGAATTGTAAGAGTTCTAAACCGGAAAACATAAACACGTAGTTGTTATTTTTTAGGCTCAACGCTGTTTTTGACGTCACGTAATTAGATCTCAATATAAAACAAGATGGCGGATGTATCGCGATAGGCGTTGCTTTTGATCGCCAACACTTGCGAAGTAAGGAAGATAAACAAATTTTGTAGCAAGGCTTTATAAGAAGTGTAAATTTTCTTTTCAACAAAACAGAAATATTTCTTGTTGCCATATCCCTTTAAATATGAATTAAAGTTTACGTTCCCGTGCAGTCCGTGGAAAACCTTGATGGTGATTTCAGTGTCTTTTGGGTACTTCAACTGAAACAGAGATCTATCAAGCCTATGTGAAAAATTTTCTAACGCAATGAGTGAATCTGGTATAGTTTAAACGGGGACTTAAGCTCTTGGTAATTTTGACGCAACCACGTCTTAGTACGGCCCTATATTCGCTTCAATAATTTCTGGTATTGGCCATCATCTGTTTCATCTCTGCATTTAGATTGATCGAGTTGAGTATAGTCAGAATTCAAAGCATCTTTAACTTCTTCGTACGTATTTGTTTCCTTTTCGGCCGGTATAACATACGAGTCACTTCTTTCCAAGACTGATTCCTGTTGTGATAATGTAAAATATTGCATTATGCAAAATATTTTATAATACCTAATAAATTTCATTGAAGCTGTAAATAATTGTTTTAGAATACCGTTGATGGTAGGATGGCAAGCAGATTTGCAGAAAGGAAACATTCTTGATACATTTGAAAATGTTGAAAAACCTCAACTTCTTAATACCTCATAAATCTGCACTATAGTTTAAGGGAAAACTGGAACAGAAAAATTTACCTCAATGACTCTCGATGGCTCTTTTAAGCTTTCGTCAACCGTTAGTGCAATATTGCCCGGGTCCGGAGTTGATAACTTTGGCTTCTGATTTCGTCGTCTGCATTTTAGCAGCACAAAAATATTGATTACAAATAACAGAAGTAGTGCACATGAATTCACCGCTATGATAATGGAGACTTTGCTCGAAATGTTCGCTTCATTAAGGACTGAAAAGGAATGAGATAGGAAATAGATAAGGTATTGTATTTTTAATTTTTTTAAGTTGTGAAATGTTTTTATCTATGTTTACAAACAGGAAATTTTGATTTAATTCGAGCTAGTACTTCTCAGTGGAATCCTGCATGTACATTATAGTGTCGTTAACGTTTTTTTTAAATTTAAGCGCACTTTGAAACGTAATCGTCTGTCGGACCAACGGTGTTCGAAAAAGCCGTATCTCGAAAACTATTGGTCGGAATGCGTCCGCGGAGCGGAGCTTAAAATGTTCAGCGCGCGATTTTACGTCGTATGAGATCAACTTCCGGTTTTATGTCGTCACTTCTGGTTTTTGAAAAAGCCGTATCTCAAAAACTATGGGTCGGATCGAGTCGTGAGAAGATTGAACGTATTCAAAAAAGGTTCTTTTATATCATTTGCGCAGAATTATCTTATGACTTTATCGTCAAGCTCTTGCTCTAACTGAGTGCTCGAATCCCGAAGCTTAAGATAACCGCCATGGCTTGTGTGTGAAACTTCCTAATGATCTTAAAACTCAATCAAGTTCAAAATTGTCTCATTTCCTGCCTTCTACGAATTATAATTCACATGGACATTTAATACTCAATAACAAGAGTTTGGACTTGTTTAAGAGGAGATATTTTTCTATGTCGCGTAATGTATGCTCAAAACCTCAGTTATATCTTCATGAAACAGCACTAAAATTTTCAGCATTAAAAATGTTTTGCAAACTTTAAAAGCATCCACAAAGTATGTTTACTGTATTATCTCAAAGTATTGTGAAAATGAAAAGATTTCTCGGGATACGCCGAGAAAAAAATGACACTTGAATCGAAGCTTCTTATGTTTTCATTTCAGTTATAATGGCGTTGACATTATAACATTGTTGATAGCCGCATTATATTTTGTAAAACGACTTTTGAGCGGTACGCCGAAAAGATTTTAGGTTTTGAGCGTTTTCCCGCCAAAATAAGTGACATAATAAAAATCTACTCTTAATTAAATGTACTGTCTGGAGACTGGAGCATAGGAACCCCAATAAATATTGTTGAAAGAAAAAGTAAATAGTCCACTTACGTTGCGAGTTCAGTGACGTCAGTGATCGCGAAGCATAAGATATAGTTATTGAGAATGATGGAAACTCTTGTAATAATATAAACATACATACGAATTTCACTAGCAAAATTTCATATCAAAACAACGAGAATCCCTTAAATAAATTATCGCAAATACATTTTAGATACTCCAACAACATTATTCCATTAAAAATATTTTAAAAAACAAATGAAAATGCACAAAAAATGTACAAAACTTTTGCCTATTTGCCGAAAAATATCGTGGGACCATGCGAGACATACAATGCGGTTTGAGGAACGAATCTGATTGGTCAAAAAAATAAACAAACGACGTGTGCTTGTCAAGCATACGGGGGGTAAAGTTAAAGTTTAAAGCAAGTTGAAAAAAAACGTGAAGACCCAAAAAAATTTAAGTTTGTATAAATACCTGTTGAAAATTTATAATTTAAATGCCATTTCTATGCGAACGTTTTAAACGCAAATGGGCTAGAACTTTAAGAAGACTGCAAAGGTTAAACCGGTTTTTTGAACTTGCCTTAAACTTTAACTTTACCCCCCGGATGCTTGACAAGCACACGTCGTTTGTTTATTTTTTTGACCAATCAGATTCGTTCCACAAACCGTATTTTATGTCTGGCATGGTCCCACGATATTTTTCGGCAAATAGGCAAAAGTTTTGTACATTTTTTGTGCATTTTCATTTGTTTGTTTAAAATATTTTATGGAATAATGTTGTTGGAATATCTAAAATGTATTTGCGATAATTTATTTGAGGGATTTTCGTTGTTTTGATATGAAATTTTGCGAATGAAATTCGTACAGTATGTTTATATTATTACAAGAGTTTCCATCCTTCTCAATAACTATATCTTACGCTTCGCGATCACTGACGTCACTGAACTCGCAACGTAACTGGACTATTTACTTATTATTTCAAAACTAGAAATACATGCATGCAGCAACCCCTTGCCTCGGTTAAACAAAATTAGTTAATGATTGTTAGAAATTTTATGTGGTTTGGGGGTTTTGGAGGGTACAGGTTATTTGAGAAATAGAAATTGAGAAAAGTGTGGAAACATTTTTGTGCACGTGGAAACACTGTAGTCATAGCAAGTTAGCAACTCGCAACGGCCGTATATTTTTAAAGAATGAAAGTTTACCCTCATATTTTTGTAAAAAAATGACAAAAATACGACAAGATTCTTACCTTTTTCTGGAAGTTAAGTTACTCATCTATAGTCAGTTTTATGGTAAATTATTTTAATTATTAAATACCATGAAATATAACATCAGACGTCTCATACAGCGCTTCGACTGGTTTTTGTACGGGAATGTTTTCATTTTGTTTTCTTTTTGTCATTAGGAAAACGGAGTTTATAAATAAAATTATAATGTCGTTTATCACATAACACATTCGATTATAGTGAAATACATTTGAGAATATTAAAGTTGTGTTTGCCACAAAAGAATTACTTTTTAAAGCTGTGCCGGATGAAATATTATCAAGTGTAAAATCTTCCGACTTCATTATACACGGTGAATTCGGTCGAAAATTTGGTCTTGTTATTTGTTAAACCGTGAAAAGTCCTGACCTCATTCGAGTTTCCCTCTAATTTAATAAAAATACATATATTCCATATTTATAAATGTATAAATTTCATCAAAATTTTGCTAAATGACAGTTATTCATTGACGTTTGAAAATACAAATTTTTGTCTCGACCAATCAAGAGCTTAGTAGTTCACACTGGCGCATGCGCATAACGTAGAAAACCGTCCATGGCGTGAGGTCCATTGCATAATGGCGGACGACTTTGATTTTGCATTTGCATATCGTGGGTGTAAATATCTGAGCGGAATTAGTACCCTCGCACGGTGCTCCGCACCGGCTCGGGGAATATTTATTGGGGTACCTATGTCTGGAGCGATAGATTTAAGAATATTTTCTTTTACCGGCTATAACTGAATTTTATAACAAATCACTTTTAGATAGTTAAGTCCTATTTTAACTTGTATCTTGTATATCATTAAATACCTTTTGTAAATAAATTCCTAGTAAAATTCTTAATAATAGTTACACAAGTCTTATGTAAATATGTAATGTAATTCACCGTTTGTGCGAATTTATTAATATAGAGACTGTGTGTTTGAAAGGGGGTCTCACAAAGCCTTGCCAAGATTTCTGTTATTATATTTGCACCTAAATTTTAGTCTTTCAACACATTTGGATTAACACTTGCCTTCAAAGGGCTGATGTGTCGTCGCATTTAGTTGTGAAATGCTACTGGTTGGCGGGTGCTCTGAAAATTAATTTTAGAAACGTGAAAATCTTTATTACTGAAGCTAGCTGTAAATAACGACGGAACAATAGACGAGTTAGTAATGTTTCAGAAAGGAATGTATAACATTTATCCAAAGATCCCATGTATTTGGAAGAAACAATGAGTAATTTCGTTTTGAACTAATCAACATAATTGTTTACATTTATAGGCAAAGCCAATCAGAAAACCTCATTTTTTAATACTTCATTTTAAATTATATATTGTATTTTACTTTTGTACTTTTTTATTTGTACTTTTTATCAAAATCTATGCATTATGATTGGATTACTGAAAATGTAAACAAACTTGCTGATTGGTCTAAAACGAAATTTCGCCTTGTTTTTGGAAGAAACTGCATGATTAGAGAGTTGATTGGAGGTGTCGGTAGCCCTCCCCCCCCTTACATGCAGACTATCTAGTGCCAAGTAAACTACACTGATATGATGAGGTCGGGGCGTTCTCGAGGTTTACTCAACAGGCTAACGATTTCTTACAACAGAGCGAACTATAGCCGGCTATAATAGTCCTTGCATGCAGGAAAGCGAAAAACGAAATACAAGCAGAATGTCTCAGAAAAATGAAACGGATATTGTATAAATTATCTTCACAGTGTTTAAAAATAGTGGTGAGGTGTTCTTGGGACATGTCGCAGCTCTCGAAATCTTTCGTCCAATTGGATAATGCTTTTCTATGCTTTCTAAAGAACAAAGCTTTGCTATTGGTTGAAACAGAAATGTACTGTAAAGTTCAGCCAGTGAAAATCATGCATTCTTGCGAGAAGCTGCGACACTACACTGACGTGCTCTTTATCGATTGGGGGTGTGTATTCTTTATAAATCATGTGACGTGAAAAAATTCTCAAAACTGAATATGTAAGCTATTCTATATGTACAAAAATATCGTTAGACCTAATATCATTAATGGTTATTTAACCTAAATACTTACGGCATGTTAAAGTTTGAATTCGACTATATGTACATACCTGGTTCTAATGGTTCATTGCAAGAATCCCTCACAGAAATATCATCAATGGCAATATTCCCCACGTCATTGACACCACGTACACCCTCGATAACGTACTTCAAGAATGCAAGTGAATTGTTATTTTTGGACTTAATCTCATTTTTCGAAGAGCCTAAGCACTGACCTGATATGGAGTCGTTTGTTTGTTTACAGCGACCTGTGCTCGATGCCAGTCTCTACAGCGGGGACCATAGAAACTCTTCAAGGGGAATCCCATACCACCTTCAGACGACACATACACCTAGATTTTTGAAGAGCATATATACAGTGCATGGGAAGAAATGCGTATTATTTTGTTGTGGACCAAAGATGGAAAAAGAGGTTAAGGAAGAAAAGAGAAGCTAGATAATCGAATTCAACAATAAAGGGATATCTCAGCGAAAAGTTGAATGTGCTAACACAACTTGTTAACTCTGCCAGAAAGTTGTTTTGAAACGTAAAAGAGGTCTTGCAAAGTATCAGAACAGCACCAATTTTTATAATAAAACCTATAACATGATCGTTATGTCAATCAAACAAAAATCATATCGACTGGACTCAGACTTTTGACTTCCATGTATGACTTCCCTGTCCTGACTAGATGCAATTCCTCAGAGGGTGATTCCTCAAAAACAGGTTTTGCTCTAGTTCCATACATTCAGGGAATTGCAGAACCAATCAGGAGGATCCTGAATAACTGTGATATAAAAGTTGCCTTTCAGACACTAGGACATATTTTCGCAAAACCCAAGGATCGCGTAGCGACTAAACAGAAAACTCATGCTGTATACTCTATACCATGTGGTGATTGCGAGAAAGAATATCTAGGTGAAACAAAACGCCAGTTCGGCACACGTTTAAAAGAACATCAAAAGGCCGTTTCGAACTTAGACAGTTCAAAATCAGCCTTGGCAGAACACGTGTGTCAAACTAACCATAACATTGCGTGGAACGATTCAAAAGTCATTACCACTAATGATCGTTATGGACAAAGGCGTTGTTTGGAAGCCTGGCGATAGGGATGACGGAAGCTATTTGCCAAAAGAATATTTACATCTGGGGTCGGTTGTTCGAAAGGCGTTTAGCTTAAACGGTGGATAAGCCAAAGTTTAAAAATACTCTCGTACATCTTGTGAATGACTGAACCTGTATCTTATGCATTTAATATGTACTTCGAACGACAATTAAACTATTTACATCGAAATATTTCAGCTCAGTTGTTCAATAAATAGATAATTTGGTTTTCCATTTTGAACTTATCCACCGTTTAAGCTAAACCCTTTCGAACAACCGGCCCCTGATTGATAGATGAAGTCATTTTGAGAGTATAATAAGGAACCGAGTTTAAACATCAGATCACCGCTGATGAAGACACTAGACCGGAGTGTCGAAACGTTGGGTCGTGAAAGTTAATCTTTGCGTGGTGATTACTTTCATTTGTTAAAACCAGAGTGGCGATAATTACGATGTATTATACACCTGGTTGCCGTGAACTCATTAACTTCAATTCGTGATGAGTATACAGGGTGAGTAAAAAAAACTTATGGCTGGAATATGACAATTCCTATGTACAATTAACAAAAACGATTTGATAAAACTGTTCTTTTGTATTTACAGAGCTTAGAATGCATTTTAACTCCCAATGGGAACAAACTTTATGTTTTATGTTAATTAATATGATATGCTTCGTATACCCATGAAATATTTAAGCACTTCTGTCACATTATAGCCGCTATGCAGCTAATTTGAATTTCAATGCAAAGGTATCAGGTTTTTTTTACTCACCCTGTACAGGGTGTCTCAAAAAAAAAGAAAACTATTGAAATCACCCATAACAATGCAATTGTTAGAGTTTGAATGCCTAAGCACTCTGTTGGGACACACAGGTGTATAAATGTATACCATACTCATTTTTATGCATGCATATGATGCAGTAAAATTTGCTTGTTCGCAAAAATGATATTTATTAACAATATTTACAATTTACAAATATGAATAACATTATTTAGATGTGCATCTCAAGGACCATGACCTTCGACATGTCCCCTTTCTCTAGCAACACAAAGCATTTAGCATTTTATAAGTTGCATTAAATCCCCACGGACTGAAATTCGTTAGCACGGCATTCAAATTTTAACAATGAGTGATTTCAATAGTTTTCGTTTTTTTTGGGACACCCTGTATATTGAAAGAATAAGATCACAATGGTTTTCATTTCATGAAAAAGGACCGGAATGGCCTTGCAAGGTATAGAAAAATACCCACCTGTAAACTTCCAGCAGGCTGGCCGAACATGCGATAGTAGAATTGAAGACACGATTTTGCTTCAGTAATCTTTGGGGAGATGAATCGTGCACTTTCACTACGATTTCTTCCGGATAATGGAGAATTTTCCATGTATAGGTACCAACCTAGTCCAACTATAAGAAAAAACACTAGGCGTAAATCTTAAAAGCTGATTTATAGCTAGACATTAAACTTCTGTCGTGGCGTACATGTTTGTAAAACATAAAGACTATGGAATTGACGGTTCGATAAAATGGTTTAAATGAAAAAATATAGCGAAATATAGAAAAAACACACAAAAAATTTAGAAACATCGCCATATTCGCAGTTCTCGGGATACTTGAACGAGTGAGTTTGTGTCATCAAAAGGGCTAACTATAGCCTCCTATCCATCTTTTATTTTCTACAAAGTGCATGTTCATACTCACTGGGTACAAACTTAATGAAATTTTGTAGCTGATCACAAACAGAACTAAGCACAAGACTCTCGCCATCCACATGGTGCACTCCATTCTTCGTTGTTAGACACATTTTTTTCTGATACTGAAGGGATCCGCTTTTTGTCCAGCTCCATGTGTCAGTTTTTGTGCAATTTCTATAAAGACCAACCTAAAGACGACATATGTTGACTAAGGCCTGGTTCAAACGTCACTCTTCGTGTGTGCCGAACCATATGTAACAGCAATATAGATTAGAGCAGGGACGCCGAACAAAGGGGGGGGGGCCTTGATTATGATTTTCACTTGTTTTTATTAATTCTCATCCTATATATATATATATATATATATATATATATATATATATATATATATATATATATATATATATATATATATATATATGTGTGCCCCTCAAGTCTCATTTTCGCCCCTGCCCTAACGACGTGATCCTTCAATGCAGGGTTCCTGGATTAGAGCCATGCACCTCAACAGATTTACTATTGTTTTTAATACGTCACTGCCGCATCGCAGATTTGGTGCATCTTAAACTCGCTAATATTTCAAGAGACAAGGTAACTGGTAACATTAACTTACTTCCACTCTATTTATCACTGGCCCTATGGGCTTCACAGACATGTTATGTTTAGTGTGCCTCAATATTCCGTCTGATCCTAACTCGAACTGCAATCTTTCCTCATTACAGACACGGTGTATTGCAAGTCTTTTTCCATCATTTGGTTTAGTAAAACCACCGTGAGATATATGAATACACTTTCCTCCGCGGAATTGCAGTGCACCTGGTCCTTGAGTTTTGCTTTTCAGAACGCCTATATATAGAGAAATAATCTGGATGTTGAATATTCCGAAAATAAACATCTTATACTCAAGATACGAGGTGTTAAAAAACAAGACACAGTATTCAAGGTGATATTTCGACTCTATTAATTTTCAAAGTCGTTTTCAAACCTAACTATTTGCTTGTAAATAGTCGAATAATCATCTTGAATATTGTGTCTTGTTTTTTTTAACAGCTCATATCTTGAGTTTACAAGATGTTTATTTTCGAGTATGTTTTCTCTTATATTTCGCAAAATTGTCTCCTGGAAAAGGTTTTTTGAATATTCCGTTGTGAAACCCGATTATTTATGTTTAAAGTTTGCTGAATCTGTACAACTAACTCCGTTATAGTTTGTGAAAGAATAGACCTTTCTTATAATGACGTCAAACGTGGAAAGTATGATGTTACACGAAATTTGATTGGCTCCACAAAACTATCGAGCCAATCAAACTTCGTGTAACATCAGACTTTCCGCGTTTGACATCATTATGAAAAAGGTCTATTGGGCAATCATAATGATATAAACTACCAGGGTCGCCACTTTCTCATACTCTCCTCAAATGCAGGTATACCACTTACCTAAACCCATCGTATGATCTGCAAATGGACCTTCATAGATTATTCCCTCGGGTACTCTTATGTGGCCTTGTTTTCTTACCCAATTTAAATTATCGCTAACACGATCTTGGCTCCATTGGCATTCGCCTTCAACCTCAAAGTTGCAAGAGTAAGTTCGATTTGCGAACGCTAAATATATAGAAATAGAGGGCGCAAATTAGCCTATAATTATCTGCTGATCACCGTCGATTCTGTAAGAATCATTAACCGTTCGTTACATTATATAGGAATCTAATTTTATATCTTCTGTAATCTTTGGGAAACGCTGCAATTCAATTGGCTAAAAGGAGTGCGATTTGCGCATTAATTGCACCCTTTGCGTATTGTAATTGCATGCTCATAGCTAATAAAAATCACTGTAGTATATACAACTAGCAAATCACCATTCAGGATAGAAAATATGAATTTTAAGTATTCCAAATTGTACTACTCACCAAGCATTGTTGTGATAAAATTTAACAATTATATTTACGTTCAATAAATTTTATCTTTTGATTACAGAAGATATATAATTATACACGCGGATATGCTTTGATAGGTATTAACCTTATTAACTAGATATAGGTAATGCTGCATGCCAACACAACATTGTCAAAATGTCGCCTAAAAAATACTGTCCCCATGCAGACGAGCTGACCGCCGTACATACCTTGGCATTGAACGACGGAAATCGTCATTCCAAACAGACATGCAAAAATGAGGGTGATCCGTGAGGTCTTCTGTCTTGTAACCTACATTAGTTGACAACTGTTACTAACTTGTTTGATGAGTCTTCAGACTACATTTAATGGTTAAACTGACACGCAGGTAGCCGAATAAACAGGATATGAAACAGCAAGTTTCCTGTAGTCCAAAAAGTGAACGTTTGTATGTTCATATGATTACATAATTTTATCACGTTTTGTTATATAGGTGCTGTGTCTTTTAAATGTGATTGGTTCATCATCGTAGTCACATGACTTTAAATAAATACAATGTTTACCGCCAGGGAAACAAGTGAAAAATTGTTGCCCGCTTCTTGCCATGGCAAAGTAAAGTGTGTTTTTTTTAAATGGAATTGTTGTGTGAAATTTAAGTGAAACATGTATAGCTATGTCGTGTATCTGGACAGTATATGGGTGATGACATTATACACTTAATGTACACTACCTGGGGAAATAGTGAGTTTTGTTTTCTCTCGAGTCTCTGAATGTTTCCCTCGACTTCGTCTCTGGAAGCATTCAGACTCTTGGGAAAACAAAGCTCACTATTTCCCTCGGGAGCATAATGTCATCACCCATATACAGTCCAGATACACGACATAGCCGTCCACACGTATCTGTTCAGCGGTCGTTCAGTGGGCGGAAACAGTGGATGCGTGTAGACAGAAACTGTAGCCGTAAAAAATTTTCCGGCATCGTGTGGGTTTTGCCAAATTAATGAAGGGCTATGAAAGTTTTAGACGCGTCGCCCACGTTCTGTTTACAACGCCGGCAGATCTCAGATTCTCACGTCTAGTGTACAACGTCTGCACTTCAAGACACTGCGAGCATAACTAGAACGATAATTAGGGGGGTGTTAATATTCCTATATTCAGTTCTGCCCGACGGATTTTTATCAGTGTAAGCTATTGCACTTACAGAAGAAGTCCGTCTGATAGAAATGGATATATGAATATTTACCCCCTCCCCCAATATGTTATCGTTCTAGTCATATAGGCTCGCTAGGGTTGCCTGATTGCTGAATAAATTAGGCAAATATTATTACCATAATCGTTGTTTTCTTTGTCTCAAACAAAGAAGACAAAGGGCTTTTTTTTTCAGTAATCTGGCAACCCTGACGCTCGCAGCATGTGTCTTGAAATGGAGACGTTGTAGTGAGAATCTCAGATCTGCCGTTGTAAACAGAACGTGGACGAAGCATTTAACCGAAACACGCCACCCCTCGAATTATCGTTCTAGTCACGCCACTGAATTTTCAAGACACAGCGAGTGCCACTTCGTTTTGGCCCAAAACGTTTGTTCCTAAACATAAACCTATGATTGTTCAACGTCCACATATGCCTCATTAAATTGATAAGATTGATAATACAATAACTCCTTTCCACCGCATTTATTTTATTCGTAGGGAAATATTTATACGTAACCGTAATGTTTATCCAAAAGCTTGTGTTAATGTACACTTCTTTGTTTAGGAAATCGAAAAATATCGCAGCATTGCACTATGATGTAGTGTATTTAGGGATTTTGCTCAATTCGCGTGCAGGGCGCTATTGTGGGTGAATTACTTGCTTAAAAGATAGATAAGTTAGTGTGTGTGCTGTGACATGTTTTGCTAAGAAATATTGAGCTAATATAATGGTTTGTTCTTAACTTACCAGCATAGTATACTCTAAATCCAGCAGCACCGCCGCCAACAGAATGATATTGACAATAATTGGTGCTATAGCCTATAAAATAAGGTAAATATTGGCATGCATTCATAACACATCCTGTCTCGTCTTCCTTATATATCATGTTTCTAAGTATCGGAATCAAAACAAACGAAGTGCGACTTCAGCGGGCTGCAAGACACTTCTGCGAGCTGCAAGGAAGATTACCTTTTATAATCTTTGAATTTTTGTACTTTATTGTACGAATTACCAGGGTGAATGTTCCTTTGAAGCCTTGAGACCACTTTTGTGGGCTAGAGTCTTCCTGATAAATGGTCTGCTGGCGTAGCGAAATGTTTGCATATTTTCTTTTGAAATGATAACAGTCAAACTAATTTATCTATTCTCCACGAACTAATTTATCTATTCTACAAAATTCAAAAGAAAATATGCAAATATTTCGCAAGCCAACTCTTTTTCTGCATGTGGGAGACCCCGTTTAACCACACCGGATTCACAAAGACGACAACAGTTTAACTGTTGTTCAACGGTAGCTCTGTCCCCCAAACGTTTTTCATTTCGCAGATCAAGTTGAAGCAAATATGCAAATCCGGCACAGTCAAGCCGAACTAATTTTTTTTATTCTGTTTAAATTCAAAAGAAAATATGGAAATATTTCACAAGCGAACTCTAACCTTTCTTTGCAAGTTTTCATAAGCACGTCCACGCACGTTAAAGTCAAAATCCTTATACATGTCATAATCTATTTTAAAAACCCAGGTAAATAATTCGAAAGAGTTTAGTTTTCCGCATATTTTAATATGCATTTGTCGACCCATGTGCTAAATAATAAAAATTTGAAAGTATTTAGATTTTTCCGCGAAAAAAAAATAACGCGACAGTGTCAGTGGAGTTAGAGTGTATAATATACGAGTTAAAATAGAAGTGAATGTATAAACAAGCAAACCTGTTGTTTTGAACCAGTTGGCAAATTTGATTACATTTTTTAGGCTGAGCTAATCAGAATGCCTACATTTTTACAAATTCGTGTGAAATGGTAATATGACTATGTCTTTTTACCGGAATTAGTCAATGTTCATGCATTCTGGTTGGCTTGTTAGAAATATAAACAAATTTCCTGATTGGTCTACTGAAACGAAATTCCTTTTTGTTAGTGAATGTAAGTAGTATTTTCACACTGTTAGCAATCTCCCCTTGTTGATTAAAGGTTTGTCAAGTTCCAAACCACTTACTCTCACTGTCTTACAGTAAGCACTGAGCATTTGATAAAATATGGAACAATTACAAAATAATGACATGCATGCAATAGCATTCTAATTACAAACTCCGAAAAATTGAAGATTTTGAATTTTTTTTTCTTTTCGTCGAAGCTCCTTCGACATATAAAAATAAAGTACGACACTTGAATTTTCTAAGTTGTATTCAACTGGCTGCATGCACTATAAAACGGCTTCGTTAACGTGTGTTAACGTTCTGAAATGTGCATTTGATTGTCATGGAAGGTATCATAAATCGAAACATCGGACTTATTCCCAAAATAGAAAACTAGAACTAGAAGAGACATTAACGAAAATAACTTTCTTGTAAGAAAAATTTAACATAAACTATTCTATGATCTCTTGGAACTCATGAATATCTTATCTTGCATCCTTCAACTTCCCAATTTGTCATGCATGGCTTGTGCTACTTAAGGGTTTCGACAATTTTGATATACCATGATATCCTCGTACGTCCCTGTATCCTTCTCATCGACCTCCATAACTGCTCCCAGCTCCTGGTAACTGCCATCATCTGCTCCATACCTGTTTTCGAGTCTGAGTTCATTAAGCTCATCGTAACCAGAATTTAAATCTTTTTCGTGCGTGTTTGTCTCTTTCTCGAGCGGTATGACATACAACTCAACGTCTTCTATGATTTGCTCCTGTTTTAATATTGTAGAATTGTATTCATTATTCGAAACGATAGAAACGTGGGAATGGAAGAGGAGGAAAAGTAAAACTATGGGGCTGCAACCAAGTGAATTAGGAGGGGAGGAATTAATTTATATTCTCCTCTTTGATACGATGGATAATTAATTTATAACATCTATTTATACCATTATACCATTTACTTAAATGAGTGTTTCAGCCGCGTAGTCGATGTGTTGCTGTCCTACACGCTTAAGGTGCTTATTTCATAACACTTCATAATGTCTTAACTATAATTATCTTGAGAGGAAACTGTAACAATACTAAGTAGTTTACCTCAGTAACCTTCGACGGACCTTGTAAATTTTCGACTACATTTAGTGAATTATTGACCGGATCTGTAGTTGATAACTTTGGTTTTTGATTTCGTCGTCGGCATTTTACCAGCACAACGATATTGATTACCACGATCAAAAGTAGTGCGCATGTGTTCGCTGCTATGAAAATGGGGAGTTTGCCCGAAGTATTTGCTTTACCGTCGACTTAAAAGGAATGAGAATGGAGAAAATAAGATATTGTATCATTTTTCTTCACCACGTTATGACTTTTTCATAGTTATCTATGTTTACAAGCAGAAGATTTTGATGTCATTCGAGTAGCATTGTATTTAAGACACGAGTATAAGCTCAGTTTTTAGAATTAACTGCGCACTTGCCTTGCACGGAAGGAGGTGTCGTTGCATTTAGTTGTAAAATTAACCGAAGGTTTGGTTGCTCAGTTTCTGAAACGTGAAAATCATCATCAGAAGCTAGCCGTAACTAACGACGAAATAATAGACGAGCGAGTAATGTTTCAGGAAGGGGTGCATCGCAGTTATTCAAACATTCCGAGCAATTGAAAGTGATTACAGTGTGTATTTATGAAAAGCGTTGAGTAGGGTATTGATTGAGAGTGTGCAATTCTCTCCCTCCCCCCTTTAGTTGCAGACGATGATTTACATTGGTTGAGGTCGGGAGGTTTTCGAGCTTTACAAATAGGGCAACGTTTTTTGCGACGGAATGAACTGTATAGCAGTTCTTGAGGGATAAAGAGAAATACAGAGAAGTGTGTTTGGAAAAAGGAAGGGATAGTACGATATACCAAATTTTAACAATGGTCAGTGCATGATTTTATAATTTGCTATAATATTGCCTTTCTTATTAACCGTACCTGAGAATGATCAATGATTGAGGTAGAAAATTAGTGATAGAAAACAAACTTGTCTAATTGGATTAAAGTAAAGCAAATATGAATCTATTGTGTGCTTGAATCCTGTCACTATTCGCCAGTAAGAATGCCCATTCAATTCCAGCTAGAGGCATAATTTTGTTGCAGGAAATTTTAGGAAATGATTCTGTGGTAATTTCTAGTCATTATACGGCATATAATCTCCAGTTATGGCATGTTAAAGTTTAAATTTTTCTTATACATACCCGGTTCAGTACAGAAATCCTTGATACAGATATCATCAATGGCGACACTACCCACGTCGTCGACTTTACGAACACCTTCGATAACGTACTGCAAGGAAGCAAGTGAATTGTTGTTACAGAAACAGTGGATTTGGTGTTTCCTGACGGCATAAAGACTTACCTGATATACAGTCTTTTGGTTGTTTACAGCAACCTGAGCTTGGTACCAGTCCCCACAACGGGATCCATTGAAACTCCGTAAGAGGAATTCCAACCTGCCTTCAGACTTCACGTACACCTACAAATTCATAGATGTTGTAAAAATAATTTGATTAAGAAAGGTGTTGTTGCATTGTCTCTAACAATTGACTAAGCAAAATATTGATCAAGCAAACTAGCGTTTTATGCGTTGGTGATAAATTAGATGATAGGTATTATATAATTATTATGATATGTTGGTATTATATGTTGTGAAACATAACTTGAATTGCGTTTCCCTGGTAATTAGTAATTTCAACATTGGCAATCATACGCGGATTATTTAGTTTCTCTACAAACAATCTAATGACTTCGTTGACTTGAAGTTTTTCTGGTCACGCTACTGACTATTCCCAAACATTCCCACACATATACTTTCGCAACCAAAAAGGACACAAAATTTTAGTGTAATTACAAAGATCATTGTTGAAAATTCTGGCCAGTGATTGGCCGACCGACCTCGGATTATTACACGATAATCACCTTAGGCTGAGCGGATTTTTCAAGATGGCGGCGAGTTATTTTTTCAAAGTGACAGACGAAGAGATAAGTAATTCCATCAAAAGTATTTTCTTAAAAGCACAAAAAAGTGACTTCACGGTTTTTACTCAGCGATATAGCCTCCCCATCGGCAAATAATCGTTAAATAGATCCGTTAAAACAGAATAGAAACTAGGGAGTACGAAATGCACATTTAAAAAAAATAAACACCTGCAACTTTCCTGTGTATTGGCCGTACATGCGATAAAAGAATTGAAGACACGATTTGGCTTTAGTGATCATTGGGGAGATGTATCGTGCTCGGTCGTCGCTTGCTTTTCTTCGCAATGATTTGGTATCTTCCATGTACCGGTACCAGCCAAGCGCGACTAAAATGAAGTGTAAATCTCGCAAGTGTAAATTATACATCCAGTAAACTAAACAGGTTATCCAGCATTGTCCGTGCTATCAATCATCTTAAAGTTGTTTTACATTCCAGTAAATTCACTGAGAATCCTATTTGTGAGTGAAATTGTCACTTTTTATACTCAGATAAAGGATGACCAATCAGAAGCATGCTTTGCCCGTAAACCACGTCGTAATGCTGAATTTCTATATACAAAGAACCGTTAGAATTCCTGCGATAAATAAATAAACTTTTGCATGAGTAAAAAGTATATAGAGCAATTGAATTTGGTTAAGACACTATGCCTTTCGGATAAAATATATAAAGTTGAGATTAGGGTTACTTGCCAGGAACGAACTTCGCGAAATTTTGTAAATAACCGCAAACTGAAGTAAGCACAAGACTGTCGCCATCACTGTGGTCCAGTCCACTCTCTGGAGCAAGACACATTTTCTTCTTGTACTGAAGCGACCCTCTTCTTGTCCAACTCCATGAGTCAGTTTTTGTGCAATTTCTATAAACACCAATCTAAAGAACAAGTGACAACAATCTGTTTTCTTCAGGTGCATAATCATTATGTTGGGGTTACAAAATCCCCCTTGTTTATATAAAACAGGTTCACAAAAAAGATCTGATTTCAACAGAGGGTGCCCATATTTTACAATGATGTTAACTCACCTTCACTCCTTCAACCACCGGTCCTTTTGGCTTCACACACATACCATGTTTGGTGTGTATCAATATCCCGTTTGATGCTAACTGGAACATCAGCCTTTCTTCACCACAGCCACTGTGAATTACAAGTCTTCTTCCATCCTCTGG